TGTTCCAATCAATATAAAAATAATCGAACTGCAGAACAAGACCATTAAAGACTTGTCCTGTGTGTAGTTAAGGGTGAAAAAATAAAGTGGTCGGGAATACAACGGGAATTGCCAATTCAACAGCCATCACGGCGCGATCCTAATTAAACGGCATTGTCTGTCTTCACATTGTGCTCTAAGCAATCATCCAACATATTGTCTGCCTTCATATCCAGTACTAGACAACTCATCGCCTCGTTCGTCAACCAAGGCCAGAATTAGTCAAGTATGTCTTTTGGGAGACTGAAATGACGGATGGGCCCTAACGAGCTGTACTCTACCTTGATGAATTTTCGGGTTATGTTTTTTTCGAGGTTCCGTGGAAACGCGTGCACGTCGAGCGGACAACAAACATGATTCTTGTCATGATTCTGTTCAACGAGGGGAACATGCAGACGATCTATCCTCTGGCAATTTTGAACGAGCCCTTGGAAAACAAAAACAAGACAAGGACTATGTACTGTTTTTCCTTGAAGCCTTTATATCCTATTTCCAATTTGATTAATTATTACCCTGTCTTTTTATACTGGAGCAATTAATAGCGGGGTGCTCCTTCTGATTAAAAACGTTCTTTTTATCTGCATGTTGGCCATATTCTCCTGTGTCGTTTGCTGTTACAGTTAAGTTAAGTTAAAAATCTTGGTATACGTTTGAAAATTGGCATTCAGTCAGGGGCGTCGCTAGAACATGTTCCGGGGGGTAACCAAATTTGCCGATAAATGTGCGTACAAAACATCCGACAAGCGACAAAAAACGAGGTCCTCAAATTTACAATTTGCCGACAAAAGAAATTTATGGGAGGTGTGAAAAGTAACATTTGCTGACAAACAAGCAACGAAATATTTGACAAGCCTCCCCAAAAAAGGTCCTCAGATTAAGAAATTTGCTGACAACAGTGAATTAATATGAACAGGCATTCAATTTTACACAGTTGCCGACGACAATTGTGGATTTGCCGACAGAAATTTGTCACTCCCCAACACACTCCCCAACTCTAGCGACCGCCCTGCATTTAATCGGCAGTTCAAAAATCTTTTCAAATTTGCCAATCAACTATCAGTTAAAAAAGAGATACAAATGTGGTCTAAAATAAAAGGGCCATGCCACACTCCAAAAGTACAGACACACCATCGATAATATAGAATAAAGGTGGTTTGATAAATTGTCCTCTTTAAATCCATACTACGCTGAAAAGTCAAATGGAGTATGATTGAATAGAAACGTGATGGTCGAGTGTTTGGGTACGTGTTACACGATACAAACACTGCAACATAATGACGTTTTACCCCCCCCCCTCCCTCACAAATTGCTTGGGGCATAGTCTGGATATAGCGCTGCTCTTACAAATCATATTTCTATGAAAAAGTGATTATATAATTTCTCAATTGCCCGAAGGTTTACAAAGAGCAACCACTTTGTTAATTGTGGAACATTTTATTAAAGAACTGAACCGAACTGAAGTTGTGTACATTTTCAGTGACGTCATGATGACGTCCTCACATGTTACTCAGACTCATTTCAAACTGCCCAAACAGATGTGTTTGTCCACATAACAAAAACATTTCTGGTTTATTATTTTTCTATGATAAAGTCACTATGACTGCTTTTACAAAGAGCAAGCGCTTGTATGTGTCTAAATGTGGGGATCTGGGGATTTCCCAGCCAGGTAATCTTTGAACTATTTTTGCATAATGCATTTTGATCCACACGTGCAGAATTAAAATGCGTTTTCTAGACGAAGCTCCCGTCGGCCGGAAGTGGCTTACTTTGTATACATTTGTATACAAATGTATACAAATGTTTACATTGCAAGCGAAAGTCTTGCACGTTTTCGGCCGGAGACAGTTCCCACGCTTGACTCCTGCAGCTCGGAAGCAAGGACTGTTTGCTTCGATGGCTCCTTGTGGAATAACGTAACTATCTGACATTTCTGATATTTTTGGGGCAACTTTAAAACCACAGGGTAAGACACATGTTTATTATTTATTTGCACTGAAAGTCTTGCTTGCTGCTGTAGGCCTATAAGTTATAGACTTCCAACGTTTGAAATGTATACGCTGCATGGAACTAAACATATATAGCATTTTTCTGTTTCTTTGTAGGGTGTTTCGTTTTTGTTTGCTTTTTTGTGATTGTAATCTTCCCGTCATACTGGATGACACCGTAATAAATCCTCAACTAATTGAGAGCAAATCAAGGAGAAGGGTCAAGTCCAATCATTGTGGTGTTCAGTGAGCCTCCCATCCTCCTTAACTGATGGACGGATCTCCCCTCCCCGGCCTGACTAATACAGCAGGGCCGACCACTACATTAATACAATAATTTATATAAAAGCAAGCGTAAGCGTGTGCGACTTGGAAATCGATGTCCCCAGGGTCTGCGTCCCAATGGTCTGATTCTAACCCTCATAATCAACAGCACGCACTGGAAAAGAAAAAAAATGAAACATATTTTCTTAATTCTTTTTCTGATTCTGTGATTTTAGTTATTAGTAAGAAAAAAGAAAATCGCACTAGAATTTCTTAGATACATCAACACGTTAAAAGGATGCGTGCCTTTTAGCCAATTTCTCTTGACGCATAAACGGTAAATTACTCTTAAGAGAATTTCTCATATTCACCCTCTTTTCTAAAATTGCCGGTCATTCCTGAGTTTTCAAGACAAATCGAAACACTGCTTCAAGGCAAGACTCCCCTGCCATAGCAACCAAGACTAATTCCCTATCTTTAACAAAAAAATATTAAACCGCAACGGGACTAAATAAATGCTGTAGCGTGAAGAGCTAATTTCATTTTGAGAGTCTGCCAAACCCAATTATTATTATTCGATGAGCACCGTCGCGAATCAGCCGCAGTTGGCGCTCATAAATCACGCGATTATCACCGTGAACCAGACTGCGTGACGTAAGCGGAGTGGAAGCAACCTGATTGAACGGCAATCAATAACAACAAGTTATGAGCAATCAGACACGAATGACGTTGAAAAGAATCCATTTTGGGTGTAATTTTCTTCTTCGTTGAAAGTCGGAAACGTGGTAGTGTGCAGGAAATACTTGTATTGTGGATGCTTTTGAATGACATGAACTATTAAAGCTTCGCATGTAAAGCTGTGACCATTCCCATGTTTTGTCGTGTTTTACTATACTCCCGAGGACAATGCTTTGTGTTTCCCTTTGTCCCTGTAATATAACACTCTACCATAGACTAAGCAGGCAAACTTATTACAAAGGACCGTTTCCAACAAAAGACACTACTCTCGAGGACCTAAAGGATCTGCTGTTCTCCCTTTGTGTGTCGGTCCTCGGGGGTATATTATATATGTGTAAAATTATAAAATTAGTCTATATATTGATCTGGTCAATTCGGGTTCTAATGTTTCTTACATTTGGAAGTTGAGCACATCGGAATGTTAATACAAAGTTGACTACACTCTCATAAAGACCTATATATTATCATGCTGCCAACATTTCAGTCATGTTCCCTGTATTCAATAACAGTACTGAATGATAATGGTTTTTGCGCAAAAAGGAACCAGACTATTTTTTCTTTCCAGCTTCGCTTTGGTTACGTTGATTTGAATGGGAACAAAATCAAGATGGCAGCAATGGTCTATTCCTCAGAGTGAAAATTCAATCTTCTCGAGCGAAATCCACTCATACTGAAAAAAAAGGGGCAGACGTTTTAGAAGGAAAATCAATCAATCGAGTAGATTCGGTTTTCACTCGAGTTTTTAACTGAATTGATTCTTATTTTCAGAGTATTTCAATCTAAAATGAGAGTTGTTTTCACTCTCTAAATTGTTTGGTTCCCAGACTCACTCTTTGGAATTTAGAGAGGGTACCGTTTTGGGACGGGTGAAACAATAACCCTTTTGCGCGATAAACATCATTGTGATCTACTCACTTTTTTAACTGTATTCATGAGAAATAGTTAGAGTATTTTTGAAATTTCATAAACTTTTTCCACCGTAGCATGCCTTTTACCTTGAAACCCGTTAAACCAAAAAGCAAAGAAACAATGGATGTACGCCCATTGTAAGCCGACAGTGCACATGTACAGATTTTAAACATTGGAATAAACCAAGTATTATTTCTCTCTAGATCAGACCGGTTTACATGTTCGTCTTGTACCTTGTGATTTTACTCATAGCGGTGCACCACATGCTACAGCAAAAAAAAATAACAGTTTAAATTGATATTAAAGAAATAAAGTTTTGGTCTTTCGATTTCGCCATTTTACAACCTCAGTAAAGTAATGGTAAATTAAGGAATTTGTAGTGAGGCATGAAAATTCAATAAGTAACAGTGGGAGCAAGCATGCAAAGGATGTAAATGAGAAATTAATGAAGTAAATATTTTGGTCTTCCGATTTCATAATGTAACAACGTGAGTGCAGATATGCCAAAGAAAGGAATTCTCATTGAAGCATTGAATTTGATTCTCATTGAATTTGATTAGTCACAGTGGAAGGAAGCATGAAAAAAAGATGTAAAAGTTAAATTTGAAATCAAGGAAATTTATTTTTGGTCTTCCGATTTCATCATTTAACAACACGAGTACAGTTGTCCTTAAGTTAGACATTCTCAGTAAAGCGGGAGAATTTAATTTGTCACAGTGGAAGCAACATGCACGAGCGTGTTTTTTTTTACATTGAAATGTCGATAGGCATCCGAATGCCGCGGTATTGGCTCGCGTTACCAGGGGAACAAATATCATATTACGGCCGTAGTGGGCATCCCCAGCAGGATGCCGCGATTTCATTGGACGAGGCAGTGGATTTCCAATCACTCGCTTAGCTCAGAAGAGATCCTCAGAGAGGATAGAATGAAGAAAATGAGGGGGCACGGCATTGGCGGGAACCGTCGGCAAGTCACTTTATCACGCGGTCGGTGTTTTCATGTATATATTTCGATGGCAGGAGATGTAATAGCTGACAGATAGTATCATGCGCGATGTACTCATTTTGTCAAGGGACTGAAGATCTGGCAAGCACGGTGTCCACATGAACCTCGTAGACTATTAAGTTGTCAGTGTTTTGTTGGAGACAGCAGTTGATGTGGTCTGCTCTCTACAGTCAGTTGCGGAGGAAGTGAGCGTACGTGCTCGGACAATTAAGCAGTGCATGGCGTGTGGTTTGATTGCACCGCGGTACCGCGTGGATGATTGAAGACCCGTTTTGCAGGAGGCGACGGGTTGGATGCAGTAGAAGGCACGGGGGCTTGAGTAGGACATAATGATACACCGATGACGGCCCGATAAGGTTTGAGCGTCTGCTGTGATATCATCAAAGACTTCGCAAAAATGAGTACGTTTCAATACGACGTCTCGTCACTGTACGACCTGACGGACGCCTTCTCTCAGCCCATTTACTTCGAGATCTTCATCTCTCTGACCCTCTGGACGCTCTGGTTCCTGGCCGTGGTGGGTAACATCTTGGTTATCATCATCTTCGTGCGGGACCGCGTCCTGCGTAACAAGGTGGCCAATCGCTACATCCTGAATCTAGCAGTGGCCGACCTGTTGGTTGGTCTCAATTCTCTGACTATCAAGAACATCTGGCGCTACTACGGCAACTGGCCCTTCGGAGAGTTCGTCTGCAAGATGTACGTTATATTGGACTACTCGGCGGTCTGCCAGTCTGCTTTTGCCATCATGCTGATCAGTTTTGATCGCTACCTGCTCGTCACCAAGGAGCTTGCCTACGGCAAGTACCAGACCAAGCGGACGGGATGGATCTTAATCAGCACCACCTGGACCGTTTCCCTGATTCTCTTCGGCCTGCCGGTCCTGCTTTACGAACCCCTAACCGAGGATCCTATCATCAAGCCCTACCACATCACCTGTTACTTGGAGGTCAGCTATCTGACGGACTACAACGTCGCCATTTTGGTCTTGACGTTCATCATCCCGGTAACGACCTTAGTGTTCTTCAACCTGTCCGTGTTCGTCAACATCTACCGGAGATCGCGCGGATTGGTGCGCAGCCGGACGCTGACTCTCCCCGAGTCGACGAGTAACTCCGTGGACGAGCAGTGGGCTAGCCCCAGAGCCCGGCAAGGTCCCGGCCCGCTCCCAGACCTGAACCCCACCTCAGACCCCGGCGGCGGTGGCGCTGCGGTGTCACCGGGGAACAGCGTGCGACTACCCGAGGGAAGCACCCGCAAAGCCCCGCAGAAGATGCTTTCCTACCGGCGCCACTACAAGGCCGCCGTCACCTTGACCCTCCTGGTGAGTATGTTTCTGCTCTGCGCCACGCCTCTCTTCGTTTTCAAGTGCATGTTGGCATTCAGTGGCAACGACCATGACTGGATCTGGTGGAACATGGTCGACTACATGACTTGGGCCAACAGTGCTCTCAACCCGTTCCTTTACGCCGTCACCAACCCAAGAATCCGGGCGGGCTACAAGAGCATTTTATGCTTCTGGCGGAAAACCCCACCAGCTCGAACACTGGTGTTATAACTAACTCCCTCGAGTATGATACTAAGTCTGATGGTTTGGAACACCCAAAAGTAAACAAATTGACATTGCTCTTACTGTGCAGCTCACATAAATATTGTCCCTTGCGGAATAGGTTAAATCACAAGAAAACATTCCGTCGTAAGAGTCACCCTGTTTTGAATTTAATATTAATGTCAAATTTTTGTTATTGTCTAAAGCACTACTTGGTGGAAACCGGAGAATACAAGTTCAGATTGGAACAAAATACATGAATGCAGCGCCACATGTTAGGACTTTACTGGGGGGGGGGGGTGGGGGGGGTGGGCGCTAGAATCTAGCGGATGCCAAGTATGTAAAGCTGGCAAATGTAAAGGTCTACAGGATCACTTGCAAAAACAAGTCCAAAACGAAACTGCCAAAATGATTATTATGAGACATCCTACTTGATTGTAAGTAAGTAATCAAACATACTGTGAAATCGTTTCTCCTAGAATGCTGCCTTTTTCAAAAAAAGAGTCGTGTGTCATCATTTCCTCACGATGGTTACATACATAACCATCAATAGAAAAACGAAGATGCATGTTATTCCCAGTTTCCTCAAAAAGTGTAATATCCACCGTGAGCAGAAACTTCATCATGCAAGGTTTTTAACATTCTCCTTTTGATTTTTGAGTGGTGTTATAATTGGAAACGAACAAAATGCATCAACCGCACATGATCCTACATATGCCTTTAATTTTTGTTCTTACTATTTTCCGCCCCCTCTCTGAAAATGGCACTGCGTGGATGCAATATGATACAGGAATGTGGGGACGAATTATGACAATTTCCTCAACTGTTACTGCGAACGTCAAACCCGAAAGGAATGAAAGGCAACGCGAGCGGCAAAGGAGCGAATCGATTTTCTCTTGAAGCTGGGAAATTGAGATTATAATGTAGTTTGTTTCGATTCGACAGGGGCGTACGCGAATTCGAACCGTTGAAACGCAATTTCATATCTAATGGGAAATGCTGAAGATTGACTGACGAGAAGAGTTTGTGCAGAATTGTGACTTCTCAGCGGATCGAATACAATCTGTTGACGTCGTCTTCTTGAGGCTCAGTTGAACGTTCCTCAAACAATGAACGGATACAATCAACTGAGAGGCCAGTAAGATCAGTGACAACTTTTGAAAGCATTTATTGTGTCTTTTTTTTTTAAAGGTTCGTCAAATGACATTTCAAAAGAGAAAACAACCAAGCCCCAAATCGACTTCATTCAGCAGCCATCTTTGAACGCACAATGAACGCCTAATGAACGCCCAATGAACGCCGAATGAACGCTCAACGAACACACAATGAACGTCCAATGAACGCACAATGAACGCACAATAAACGCACAATAAACGTACAGTGAACGCACAAGAGGCCTACTCGTGCGTATTCCTGTTGAACAAAAGCACACACCTCAAATATGAATGCAAACGGCCTCTTTAATTTGGAGTACAATGATTATGACCATTGAACATGGAACTTTGCGTTAAACATGTATTTAAATCATACGGATTTCGTACATGAATATGCTGAGCTTAATTTTCAACAGGTGGATACTTCATACTTGTCCATGCTTTTTGAGTGCCCGTCTTCAAGACAGAAAACAAAACGGATAAAAAGAAACAGGAAATTGAAATGTTCCCTTTCCCGCCTTTCAGTTACTTGTGTTAATTGATGATTTTCGGATCGTAGCGGGGCATAGATATAGATAGATGGAAAGGCGAACTATTAAAATCTACAGGTCGCGTAACTATGTTCGCGTAGGTTTTCACTAAAAGTGCATTATAATAGTGTTATATAACAGTGGATGACTGAATGACAATACATCACACTTTTGCGTATTGCTACAAACAATTTAATAAGATCAATTTTAGAATAACGCTATTAACAACACTTTGTATACTATTAAACAATTGGTCTTCAAATGACAAGAAGTTATTTCAAGATGGCAGGCCAGAAGTAGTCTCCAATATTGCCCACGTTGGCCAAATCACAATTTGAATGCCCTCAAATTCACTGTTGTGGGCCACGAGCTCAACGGTTTGTTAAAAAAAGGATGGAAGTCGTGAACAGGACTGTGAGTTTGTATTTTTAGGTTAAGAATGGATGAAATTGGGCCCTAAAATTGCTCTATTTGCAATGGAGCGTAGGAACTATTTTTCAAAATGGCGATGGGCTTCAGGACTTCTTTTAGGGGTGATCATATTTGGATGGGAATTTCTCCCCAAAGTCATCAAATTACCCCCCCCCCCAAAAAAAAAATGAGCAGAAAATGAAAGATGATGAAATAAGCTATAATTTGATGTGTGACTCAACACCTTGAAGAGGTATTTGTCCTGATTGCAAGAAGTGGGTATTTTCTATTACTGGGGTTCTATGGCAGTTTTTTTTCATGGTATTCAACCTTAAAGGCTGATTTAGGTTTGAAGACCCGTGTACGCCCTCAACCATTTGTTTTCCCAAATATCAGAATATTATTGCGAAATATAATACCGAAAAATACTACCTCTCAGGGTTCCATCCAAGCAAGATGCCAAAATCTATTCTGAAGCTGATATTCATAATTCGAGTTTCCATCAAACCTCAAACTCAAAATGTATTGCAATGTGTATTCCACGAAGTGTGACAGTGGAGTGTGCTTCTATACTAGGCTTCGTATAATGATTCGCGGGAGATAGATAGTGAGTTCTGCGTAACTGAACAGGGTGGATCAAAGAAACAAAAAAAAAAAAAAAAAAAACCACTGAGATATTATTGCTAATTTGAACAGAAGTAGGGCACCTGACTTGTGAATCAAAGGGAGATATCTTCTGTTAGGGTTGAATCTCCTCTTTAAACTGACACCCTGATCATGTCCTTACATTCACGGTTGACTGAGCAGTGACAAATTTTATGTAAGGGTTTATTTAGAGAATTGCGCCACCTTTCATGGTGAAATCTCTTTTTTTCCCACCTGCCTTGATTGGCAACCATAGCCTTTCACTCTGTGACATTTGACACAACAAAAACCACAATTGAAAAGTGGCACAATTCTAAAAAAAGACCCTTTCATAAAATAGGTCACTGCTCAGTCAACCCTGCATGTAATGACATGCCGATTGTGTCATTTTAAAGAATATATCTCCTTTTGATTCACATGCACTCTACTTCTGTTCCTATGAGCAATAATATCTCGGTTTCGTGTATTTTGATCCACGCTGTATAGAGAAAATATCATGTTCCTATTTTCAGTCGGAAACGGGGGACGAGCATTTCACACTCATTCATTCAAAGCGAAGCTATAGCGAAGTTGTCGTCACCTATTTATTGAAGAGAGTAAAGACATCCTGCAATTCACAGCAGCGTTTGTAGTGGAGAGAAGCCCGCACTTCCGCACAAAAGAAAAACCGGTTCTGTCAACAGTGCCTTCACCTCCATCCAAATAAATCAATGCTCACCTACTTTGTTTTTCTTTTTATAAAGAGAGTTCCATTCACTTGAAATACTGCCATGCGCTTACCAGCGTGAATCGCACAATGGTAATTGTATTGGAAAGGGGGCCTTCTTCTGTTGGCATTTCGTTTTATTTAAATAATAAAGGTGGCTCTCTCTCTGTCACCGTGGAAACTAGCATTAGCGGCGGAAACACAAAGTGCAGTGTTCATACAGAAGACGGCGAGACTTCAAATTATAATAAATATTACGTTATTATACAACTATAAGGCCTCTTCGTGATGCATGAGCAATTTGTGACTGATTCTACGCTTTCTTTAATTTTAAAATTAAACCCTCCCAGTTAAATAGAGAACAGAACTCTCTCGTGAGTCATTGATCTAGTTTTCGAGGCATTAAAACCGGTTCTTCTGTAAATTGTAAAACCGCATCTCAAGTTTTCAAGTTCATCATCACTTGACTTTGTGTACAAAAGCGGGTAGCATGCTCCTTTTTCGACAATTACAAGATGCATTACAATTATAAGTTTGAGGATGACTGCAATGGAACTTTTTTTTACTTGAGGACCACAAAAAGGTAATACTCACAAATCTTTTGCGCTCTTGGAACTGGAAATTTTATTCTCTAAATTCCAGAGTGAAACTGGGCACTAGACGAGTTTAAACTACTGGCCAAAGAGGTTTTGTTTTTGGCGGCGTGGGTTTGTTGGGGTGTTTGTGGGGTTTGTCTGTTTGTTTGTTGGGGTTGTTGGGGTGTTTAATTGTTTGTTGGTTGGTTTGTCTGTGAGCACGATAACTCAAAAGTTTATGGACGTACTTTGGGTGTACTGGCAATATAGAGGGACTTGTTCAGCCTTGGCGGAGGTATGCGCTCTCTGAGTGCTTTCTAGTATACAAATACAACATGGTTTGTCGGGAAATAGTGAAAAATAATGACCCCGAGGTGTTTTTACTATTTCCCCGCAAAAACTCATAAAATATTCATCAGGCAGCTGCGGTATTTTATTCGTCTATTCCACCATGTTTTTGATCGTGCAGTATTTGGATAAAGTAAAACATTATTTTAATTTAAGGAGACAGACAGAATAGAAAGTTACATTTGTGTCATTTAATAACTTTAACATTCACGCAAAACACTGCATTTATTTTTATTGTGTAAAATTTCACCCACTTCCTCCTCGGTTAAAATTGCAAATCGAGCACCACCGGTCGCCATTTTGATTTACGCCGTAATAGACTGGCACATGCAACTATCCTCACTGGTGTTGTCCACGGTACGCACGTAAAGCAAATGCGTCGTTGGTAAAGAGATAACACAGTACTGGAACAAATCTAACTGCTGCGACTCAGGTGTGTGATAGTACCTCCCTGGTTTTTGCGCGTCACACGCGCGTACGAAGACGCGGGATGATAGTATACAAATAACGAATGTTTGTGAGTGCGATGGTAAGAATAATTTCATGAGGTGACAGATTGAATGTTCTATTCCACGAGGCGAAGCCGAGTGGAATAGAACATTCAATCTGTCACCGAATGAAATTATTCTTTCCATCGCACGAACGTAAAACATTCGTTATTTGTTTTATACAACACCTGAATAAATTCTCGTCATTTGATTGGTAAATTATAAACTACAATTTATTTCGATTTTAAAGATGTTGAACTACCCCTTCACGAAAATGTTTGAACCCAACGCTGTAGCGCTGGCTCTTTGGAACAATACGCGCTACGCTGAACGCGCACACCAGCATGCATTTTGCACGCAAATACCGCGTCATGGAACAAGCGCAAAGTAAAACGGTATAACGCATGGGTATAACGCAT